CAGATCCCGCGGGATCATCAGAACACGGTGATCTACATCGGCTGGGCTGCTGCCTGTGCGGTGGCCCTCATGTACGGCTCCGTCCCTTGGTACGTCCACTTCGCCACGCCCCAGGTGGTCGAGCACGTGAAGTGAAGAAAGGGATCTTTGATAACATGCTGATTCACCCAGTTGCTGCGCAGCAACCTTTTCTGCAGATACTCCACCTCGGGGTCTGCTGTGGCTGCTTGTTGTTAGCCTTCAATCGCTTTAACGTCTTCCCTTTGGCCATCACTGCGAGACAGGGTGACCAACAGGCACTTTCAAGTTGCTTTTGCACACTCTAGCGGGCTGATTGAACCAGCTTGTGCTGGGAGCTGCGGAGCTAACTGCATGAGTGGGCGGTCCAAAAGACAGTTGCGCATTCAGAGGCTAGCCTGGTTGCCAGAAGCTCTTGCACTGTCGCCATAGCCGAGGCATTGAAGGATGAAGATCAGTCGCTCTTGGTGCAGCGACTTGGATTTGTGGCTGCGTGCACACACCCGCTTTTGCCGCTCTGCGACACTCGACCTCGGCCAAGGATACCATACAAGCGCTGCACTCAGAAGGCAGTCAAAGGTCAAAGGTCTCTGGCAAGCTTCGGAAGCCGTGCTGCAGCTGAGGCCTTGGGACATCGCCACAAATGGCTTAGGTCAACGCGATCCAGAGAGAAGCACGACAGATTGGTGTGAAGTAGCTGTCGGGCCTGTCGTGCCCCTTGCAAGAGTCGGTTTGTGTGCACCGAGGATATGCTGAGCTTGCGGCAAAGTCTGGTGTCGATGGCCTGAACCTGGACACAATGGACTCTCTTGGTCCATTTGTGGTTGCTCCCGGTCAGGATCGGCCCGCACCTGATCTGAAGGTAGTAACGTGTCGTACACCTTCCAGCCGCCTCCGACTGTCGTGTTCCCCTCTTTGATTCACGCTCAATCCCACCCCGCCGGCACACTTCTTCTTTTCATCGAGGTGATTCCAGCCACCGATTTCTTTGATGCCGCCAAAAAGGCTGGGCCGAGATGTGCTTGTGTCAGTGAGTGGATCCCGTGTGATAGAAGCGTGTCTTCGGAGATCGAAGTCTATGAGGCTGGCATCTTCCACTTGATTGTCGAGCCAGAACTCAACCTGTACAACGGCTTGTTCCTTCTGAGCCTTCCCTACATGGCCCTGGTACACTTGCTGAGCCGTTGCAGTGGCAGCTCCAAGGAACACGACATCGCAGGGCTGGCTCTACACACTGTCGCAGTGCCCACCTGAGGGATGCTCAGAGGCTCGGCTCAAGCTGCATGGGGAACCTTTAGCAGAAGATGAAGGAGGAAGAGCATGCACAAGGAATCATTCCGATTTGCGATCTTTGGGCAGTTTGGCTGGCTAGTAGAAGCATGCCATCGAAGCCAATGCCCTGCGTCACCAGCACCATTAGGAACGAAGGTTGCGCATGTTGGCCCCGTGCACAAGGCGTTGTCGGGTGGTACGGCAGGACGGAGCACACACTGCGAAGAATCACACGACAAGTCTTAGGAATGAATTGGCTGGCCTGCTGCTTGAAAAGAATATAATGCCAGTAAGCAATCTGAGCGAAGTAGAGATGGAAAGAGGCTGTACCAGCAGCTACACATCCGTGG